ATATTGCTGTTTTGTTCAGGCTGGCTTTCCACATATCCTCTAGCCTGGGTTTGCCTGAGTCTACACTTGGGGCAACCACAGACAGGTACATGGTACCACACCAGGCTTCAAAAGGCTTCAAAATAAAAGATTAAGGAGCTGGGATGCAGCCCAAGGCTCCCTCAGTTTGTCTCAGTACTCCAAAAAGAAAGTGTCTGCTGGTGGGGAGGGCACTGATCTCTACCTGCGACATCGCCATTGTCCCAACTCTCCCTGGGTGGAGACTGACCTCAGGTGGCCTTTACCTGTGCCCAGAAGTAGAGGCCGGGTCCCGGCTGTTCCTTATCTGGCCTCTAGGTGTCAGCACTGGCCCTTGATTTGTTACCCACATAACTGAAGTCCCTGTTGTCCCCTCTGCCCTGCTCAGGGGTCTTCCCCCCCACCCCCCGCAGGCAAGCGCTTATTCTATTGAGCTATCTCCCAGCCCTGTCCCCAAGATTTTTAAATTTGAGACAGGGTCTTGTTAAGTAGCTAAGGTGTTCAGGCTGGACTAGAACTTGAGATCTTTCTGCTTCAATCCTGCAGAAACCCAGGATTGAGTTCTGGGTGTTCCCAATTTAATTTAATGGTGCAATCGAATGATTTTGTTATTTTTGTATTGAGGATTGAGCCCAGGGAGCAGAGGTCTCTTTTTATTTATTTTTTAAATTTTGAGGGGCCGGGGAGATGGCTCAGTGGAATAAGCGCTTCCCTGGCAAGCGCAAGGACCTGAGTTCAATCCCCGGTTCCGCAAAAAAAAAAAAAAAAAAAAGCCAGGGAGATGGCTCAGTAGGATAAGTGCTTGACTGGCAAACACAACGATCTGAGTTCAATTCCCGGTTCCGCAAAAAAAAAAAAAAAAAAGTAAATTTAAAAAAAAATGTAAATTTTGAGTCAAGGTCTTGTTAAATCGCTAAATTGCTCCTGTGGAGCTTCACCTTGCCATCCTACCTCAGCCTCCCCCAGCGCTGGGATTATAATCACGCACATAACACACATCCAGTGGGTTGTTTTGGCGAGTGGGGTACTGAGGATGGAACCTAAAATCTTTCCACGGAGCTCCAATTCCAGTCATTTTTTACTTTTTATGCTGAGGCAGGTTCTTGCTAAGTCACTCAGGTATACGAGCTTGGCTTTGCTTTGCAACCCTCCTGCCTCAGCCTCTCAGAATGCAGGTGTGATAGGCAGAGTCTCAGAGCCCACATGGCAGTGGCTGTCTTGCCAGAGTTGGAGCAAGATGGGTGGGGCATCGGCTCCTGGCAGGGTCAAGGTCGGATGTCGGGGATCCAAGGGTGGGGAGGGACCCTGGAGGTGTGGGGTGTGATCAGGAGGGGACTGGAACCACCGACACCATTCTGAGCAGGAGCCAGGGCGGCATGGAAAGAAGCCATAGGGTGCCCAGGCATCCAGGCAGACTCAGGGCAGGTTCTGTGTTGCCTCTGCTGTCTGGGGAGACGCTGTGGTCTGCTGCAGGTGAGGGGTGATGCGCTCAGGCCATTATAGCAAAATATTGTGGGCCCCGAATTGACATACTGCAGATATTGCTGGGCCTGGTGGCACCTGCCTGTAAATCCCTGTACTCCAGAGGCTGAGGCAGGAGGTTCCAGCAAGTTTGAGAGCATCCAGGGCTACATAGTGAGTTCAAGGCCAGTCTATGCTACAAGCTAGACCCTGTCTGAACAAACCAGGACAACAGGAACAAAAACAACACCAGGCATGGGGGGCACACCTGTCATCTCAGCACTTAGGAGCCTGAGCCTTCAGGGTCACCACAGGCTACATAGTGACTTCAAGGCCAGTCAGAGACCCTGTCTCAAAAAATTTTTAATTTAATTTACTTTTAAAAGCAGGGGGAGGGGATAGATAGAGGGTCTTTTTAGCATGTATGAAGTGCTGGATTTGTCTGCAGTACCAGAGTAAGAGAGAAGGGGGAGAGACAGAGAGAGACAGAAAGAAGCTGGGATTTAATTTTAATTTCTAAGTGGTAAATGTCAGTAGTTCCAAACCACATAAATGGGGCTGGGGAGATGGCTCAGTGGAATAAGCACTTGCCTGGCAAGCGCAAGAGCCCGAGTTCAATCCCCAGTTCAGCCAAAACAAACAAACAAAAAACACACAAATCATCTTCAGGACATTCTTTAAGAAGGAGGAAGAGGGGCCGGGAAGATGGCCCAGTGGAATAAGCGCTTCCCTGCCAAGCATAAGGGCAGGAGTTCATTCCCCAGTTCCACAACACCAAAACCAAAAGCTTTGGTGCTGGAGGTTAATCTAGAGTCTTTCTCATGCCAACTATGGGCCCTTTTACTAACCTATAACCTCAGCCCTAATGATAGTTGTGCTTTAGGCAGAAAAAAATGTGCCAGGCATGGTGGCACACACTTGTCATCCCAGCACTTGAGAGGCTGAGGCAGGAGAATCTCTGCAGGTTCAAGACCAGTTTGAGCTACACAGTGAAAGCCGGTTTCCAAAAAAAAAAGAAACGGAATGAAGAGAAGAAAAACAATGTGCTGAGTATTATGTAGACTACTTCATCTTCAGGCTCCAGGGATGCCTCTGTTGTTGCTTGTTTCTCACAGATGGGAAACAGGAGCACAAAGAGGTTAAGTAACTTGCTACAGCAGGAGCTGCACTGGGGGAGTGTCCCCAGTCATGGTGGGGTCAAGTGTGTCACAGCCTCAGGAATCTCCTGCCTTTTCTCTTTCCTGTGGACCGTGCACATTTACTTACATGAGGCTCTGGGGCCTCTGAGCCCTGTCTCATAGTGGAGCTCCTCTCCCAGGCCACAGCAAGTCCTGGCCTGGCTGAAGCAGGGTGATAAGTGGCCACTGCTGGAGAAGGGGGGGAGGGGGAGGGGACCGGACACAGCCTCCTCTCTTCCTAGTGAGACACAGGGTTTCATGGCCTAGTCTGATGCTTCTGATCATATTACCTGGGAAGCTGAGGCAGTAGGGTCAAAAGCTCGGGGCCACCTTGGGGAATTTAATAAGACCATCTCTTAAAATAATAATTTATAAAAGGGCTGTGGATGCACACATAGGTCAGTGATTGAGCACTTGCTTAGCATGTGTGAGGCCCTGGGTTTTATCCTTGGCATTGCAAAAGAAAAAAAGGAGGGTTGGTGGGATGGCTCAGTGGTGTAAAGCACCTACTTAGAACAAGCTTAGCAAAACACAGGGACCGCAGTTCAATCCCCCAGCATCACATGCCAGCCAGCCCCGCCCCCTGGTGGGCTGAGCTGGCCACACACACACACACACACACATAAATTAAAAAAAAAGAAAAAAAAGTGCAGTTTTATGGTTCTTAAAATTTATTATTATGGGAGCCGGGGAGATGGCTCACTGGAATAAGCACTTCCCTGGCAAGCGTAAGGGCCTAAGTTTAATCCCCAGTTCCGAAAAAAAAAAAAAAAAAAAAAAAAAAAAAAAAAAAAAGAAAATCTATTGTTATGATTTGATTTTTTGACAAATAGCTCAGCAGATTAAAGTGCCTGCAAGCAGGTGCAAGGGATGGGGGTTCAATCCCCCTGCCTGCCGTGCTGGCACCAATCCTGGGGCATGCTAAGACAACAATTGAGACTGGCCTGTAAGCCCAGCTCTTGGGAGGCTGTAAACAGGTGGATCACTACGAATCTGGCTAGTAGTGAGACCCAGAACACCCACTAGACCTTTCCCTAAAATAAAATAAATAAATAAATTCAGTTTTTGAGATAGATTCTTACTGTGCAGGGCAGCCTGGCCTCACACACACTATGTAGTTCAGCCTGGCTTCGAGCTTGTGATCCTCCTGTGTCAGCTTCCAAGTGCTGGGATGAGTGGCATGTACCAGCACACCTGGCTTAGCTTTACCCTTTTGGGCTCTATTCTCAGGACCAGGGTGGTGAGGCCTTCTGGGGTGGGGAGGCAGGGAGGGTAGATGTCCTATTGCAGAAAGCTACAGGAGAAGGGAGTATGGCTGTGTTGCAGGCACCCAGTGGTCATGGGCAGCCCTGCTGGCTGAGCTCAGGGATGAACATATCCCTCCCCGCTGCACTCTTTTAAGGAAACCCTTGCAGCAAGTACCGCTACTGGGCAGGAGGAGCCGGCCAGCACCCAGCATCTGTGAGGCAGGGCAACCCATCCTTGTGGGGGAGTCTTCCCTGGGGCACCAGCACCCTGAGCTGATTTCCTGTTTTCTTTTCAGAATCCAGTGCCACCAAGCTACACCTTTTACTTTTTTAGATTGAGCCAGGATCATGCATGGTTGCCCTGCTTGGCCTCAAATCTGGGATCCTTCTGCCTCAACAGTGTTGCCCCAGAAAGTCACTTTAGAACTTTGAGCTCCCCCTTCCCATCTCCTGACAGAGCCCAATAGCACGCAGCCAGGCACAAGACGATTCCAATCCTGAGGGCGTTGGGTTCAACTTTTTTTTTTTATTTTTTTTATTGTTTAATGTCATGCATTAATTCACAGTCCCAAGCCCACGGTTTTCAAACAAGGTAGGAAAAAAATAAAATAAAAAAATAGAAAAAAAAAAAAAAAAAAAGAAGCAAAGGAATTGGTGGTGGTGGTCTTTTTTTTTTCTTTTTTTCTTCTTTTGTTATTTCAAGCAAGATCAATGTCAGAAAAAAATGCTTCTTTTTTCTCAATCATTAATTTTTTTGTCCTTTTTAAAATTGTTTATTATGATGATTTCTCTTTTAAACTGATTTCTGCAGGCAGTAATAGTGGGGTTCGGTATCACCAGCAAGCACTCCTGGTCTGAGACGCGTGTGGGGTGTGTCTGGTTTGGGGGTGCTGGGTTCACTGCCTTCGGCCTCCACCTCCCCGTGGCTCCCCTGCCACGGCAGCCACCAGCTTCCTCGCTCGCCAGGGAAAGAAAAGATTTGACTGAGATGATAAAACTCATCAATAGAAGCTATTTGTTTTCTCCTCGTTTTTTTTTTCTTTTAAAAATGTTATTGTTTTATATATATATATATATTTTTTTTTTTTCCATTTTCCCCAAAGTTATCCAAAAAGAGCTGAGTTAATTCAAATCCCTTGGCTGTGTGGTCGGTCGGTCTGTCAGTTGCCCACCCCAGGCCCCCATCACAGGGGGAGGTTGAGGCTGGGAGGGCATCCATTGCCCAGGAGGGTCTATTCTGGCCTGGGGGTGCGCTGGGCCCCCGGCCCCTCCAGAGTCTTGGGTCTCCGTAGCTGGCGGGTTCTGTCCTGCACCGGGGTGCTGGGAGGGGATGGTCTCCTGGTGGGGCGTGTGCGTGGGGTGCGTGGGGGGCCGGGCGGGGGCGGCGTCACCTCGCCCGGACTTAGCACCAATCGTCGTCGCTTTCGCTGTAGGGCTCGTGCAGGCCTTTACGGGAGCCGGGCCCTCCGGGCCGGGCCAGTCCATGGGCCGGGTAGTAGCCATTGGGGAGTCTCCGGCCGTGCCGGGAAGGCGAGGTGCAGGCCGGGCCCGCGGCCCGGGGAGTCCTGGGCGATCGCCCGGCGGCGCCCGAGGACGGGTGTCTTGTTGGGGGTGGCACGTCGTAGGGTCCGGCCACGGGCTCCTCACCGAGGCCGGGGCCGTCGGCCTCGCCATAGTCAGAGCCCCGGTAGTAGCTGTGGTGCCGGGGACCCTCGGGCATGTGCGGGCCGGATGCGGGCCACCGGGCCCCTCCGTGGCGACAGGTTCTGGGGGACTCACTCCGGGCTGGCCCAGGGGCTCGCCGCTCCATGCCGGGCGATCGGCTGCTGCCGTGGCTGCCAGCGGGGGGCCGCTCCCTGGCCAGGGGCTCGGCCGCGGGGCCTGGGTACCTCCGTGGGCCGCTGGTGGCCACCCGGCCCGGCCTGGCCACGACCTGCGGCGGTGGCTGTGGGGGCCCCGAGACTCCGGCCTTACGGATCACGGGGGAGTAGGACACGTGTGGCCGGGGGGTGGGGGGGGTCTGGGGGAGCTGGCGGCGTCCCCGCCGCGGAGTGCTGGTACCGGACGTTGAGGGGGCTGGGCTTCCACTTACAGAACTACTGCCCTACACGAAAATTGAAACAAAGGAAATCAAAACAAAAGATACAACCAAATCAACCGGAAGGAGAACGGGAGGAGACACAGAGGAGGACAAACGGGACAGGAGAGAGGACGTAGGGGACAGAGACACAGGACATGGGAATGGAAAAAAAGGAGAAAAGCGACAGCCACAGGGGGGAAGAGGAGGAGGGCAGGAGAGTGAGACGGGGAGGGAGGGAGGAATCAAAAACCAACACAACAAAGTGAAAAGAGAAATGAGAAATGGAGTTTTGTAAGTTTCGGGGTTAAAATAGCAGAAGTTTCAAAAAATTACTCACAGGCGTCCATAGGACAGAAATCATAATTGAAACGAAAAGGGAAGCCAGGTTAAAGGAAAGCGAAAGGACCATGGTGGCCCCAAACTCAAACGTGATCCACAAGGAGAAGCAACTGCAGGCAGGCGGGTGGGAGGGTGGCAGCAGGTGGCGGGGGGCTGGGGACGGAGCAGGGACTGGGAGGGGGGCAGGGAGCGGGGTCCACCCAGCCAGGAGCCACCCTGGGCCCTGGGAGACCTGTGGGGTGCAGGTTGGAGGAGGCTCCCCTCATAGGCGCCTGGGGTCCCCTCCTCCTCGTCCTTTCCTGGCCCCAGTCCCGGCCTGGCTCCTAGACCGCACCCACCTGCCGGTGGGCCATGTGCTCCCGGCCCTCGCTTGGCGAGCGAGACCAGTGCTGGTCTCGGGCACGGGCGCGGCTGTGCTCTGGCCGTTCCCGCTCTGGGCCATAGCGCTCCTTGTCGGGGGGTGGGTGATGGTGGTGGTGATGGTGGTGATGCTGCCGGTGCTTCCTGTCCTTGGGCCGGCCCCTGTCCTGGTCCCGCTCTTTCGATGGCAGTTCCCCAGACTGGGTGGTCATGCTCAGGTCTGTCCCCAAGCCTGGACCAAAAGGACACATGGATGGGTGGTTGGCTGATCATGGAGGAAGGGAGATAGGATAGGGTGTGTATGTGGCAGGCCATCAGGGGTGAGAGGACCCCAGGGCTGGGAACTTAGGCAGGTCTGGGGTGGAGCCTGGTCAGCATGCTGTCAGCCTGGTCCCTGTCCCAAGGCTGGGGGCAGATGCTCCTTGGTCCCTTATGCTGCCCACTTCCTTTTCTTTTTTTTGAGACAGGGTCTTGCTATGTACCCAGGCTGGCCTTGAACTTGTGGTGGTCCTGCTGCCTTAACTTCCTGAATGCTGGGATGACAGGAGTGCATACTGCCCCTGTGTCACACTTCTCTTCCTCCTTCCAAACTCCATCCTTTTCTCCCCCTCCCAGAGGCCCTGTCTCTGGGCCCACCTGTATCTACATCTGTGTATCGGCCCAGGGAGCGCTCTGAGGCCCGGTGGCCACGGTCGCGGCGGCGCTGGTGGTGCCTCTGGTTGTCCTCAGGCGGGACCCGCTCCAGCGAATAGTCTTCCAGGCGTCGCGCTTTGGGGCCCAGCACAGAAGCTGAGCGCTTCATGGGGCTAGTGTCCGAGATAGTCTGGGGGGGGGGGGACAGGCCGCAGGGTGGAGTCAGTGGGAGCCGTGCACAAGTCCTGATCCTTTTCCCACTTGTGGTGGCTCACAGACAGCTGCCGTGGTTGTGGTGTGGCCATCCAGGGACAGGGTCTGGGGAGTGCCACAGGGCCCAGGCCACAGCCTGCCCCCCCCAGACAGAGCTGGTCCCTTGGCCCATTCTGGGGCCACACACATGTGGCTGCTTCCCAGGATCCCCTGCTTCAGACCCAGAAGCCCAGGCTGCAGGCCATACCCTTGCCCCCAGAGCCTCCATCAACCCCACTCAGCACCTCCTGACACCCAACTCTGGCTCCTGCCGCCCAGGTACAGGCTGTGCGATTTGAACCCTGACTGGGGGCCTGTGGTTCTCCACAGCTGGCAGAGAGGAGCAGGAGGGACACTCTGACACCAGGCCTGCCCTGGAGTGAGGGATGTGAGCCAGGGGCACTGAGAGGAGGGGTGGGGCAGGTGTGGCCCCCAGCACACGCAGGACACACACACAGGGGAGGGGGAGGTTTGCAGAGTGAGGTTGGGGCTGGGGACCAGGGTGATGGCCAGGGCTCCCTGCGGGGGGTGGAGGAGGCAGTGGTGGTGGGCGCGGTACATACACTGAGGTTACTCCCACGTGGCCGGCCCCTTCTCTGTCACGGCCCCACGGGATGGTGCACACAGAAAGACAGAAAGGAGAAAATAAATATAAAAGGCTGGAAGGAGAGGGAGGTGTAGGGGACGTGGAGGAGGTGCAAGGAGCGGCCGTGAAGAAAGAGAGAAGTCACCATCTCTGGAGGGCGCAGGGGGGTCCCAGGACCTGGCTGGCTGCCCCCCCGCGAGTGCAGCAGAGACAGAAGACACACAGATGGCAGAGGCATAGGAGACAGACACAGAATGGCACGGCCATAGCCCCAGGGACTTCCTCATGCCATGCGCTGAGCCCGGGTGGTGGGCATCTTGTCCCCTCCCTCTCTTGGGACCCAGCAGTAGTCCTGACCCAGGAACTGGGTGATCACATGCACCAGAGTGTCCCCCAGGCCAAGTCAGAGCAGCCAGAGGCCAGGCTGGGAAGTTTGCGTGGCGCCGTGCTCCACTCCACACAGGCAGCCGGCCATGCCCTCCCACGTCCCCTGATGGGGCCCTGCAGCTGAGAGAAGCAGCCCCACACAGACACACACCAGGCACACACACTGCCCACCCTGCAGCCCACAGAGACCAGACAGGGACCAGGACAACCCACCCGACACAGCTTGCAGGTCCTAGGACCCACATGTGTGCATGTGTGCACGCGTGTGTACGTACACATGCATAGGCTTGTACCACGTTTGTTTGCACAGATGTTGTAATATCATGTTGTAGCCTTTTTTTCAGGACTGGGGATTGAATCCAGAGCTTTTGCACTGAGCTCACTTCCCAGTGCTTTTGGATTTCTTTTCTTTTTTTAAAAAAATTTTTGTGTTTTTGGTACAGGGTCTCACTATGCACATTGGACTCGTGGTGATCCTCCAGTTTCAGCCTCTCTAGCACTGGGATTACTCTTGCCGGCTCAGCATGCCCTGGGGGCAGGGCCTGCACAGCATGTGGAAACCAGGGATGGAACCCTGTTCCCTGCACTTGCCAAAGCAGGTGCTTTGTGCTTTGTCTGCTGAGCTCTCTCTCTCTCTCTCGCTCTCGCTCTCGCTCTCTCGCTCTCTCTCTGGTCTTTTTGAGACACAGTCTTGCTATGCAGTTCAGGCTGGCCTTGAGCTCACTGTAACCCAGGCTGGTCTCAAATTCATAATGATCCTCCTGCCTTAGCCTCCTGAGTGCTGGGATTACAGACTCGTAACACCACATCCAGCTGTATTTATTTTGAGACTAAATTGCCCAGACTGAGCTTGAATTTGGGGAGATTCAAGCTTCCCAGCGTGCTGGGGGCACAGGCGTGTGCCACCATACCCTGTTGGTAGTTGGGGTTCTCCACTGCAGCTCTCATTGGGGCCTGACAGATCCTCTTCTCACCTCACCCCTACTTCCCCCTCAGAACTCCCAAATAAGACAGAGGAAACCAGTTGGAAGCAACCACCATACTCAGCCCACAGGGACTGTCCTTCCCCAGGAGGTGCCTGGGTACAGGAAGGAGAAGCCCTAGATTGCATGTTTGAAGGGGAAGGTGGTACTCCCAGTGTAGCCAGTGTAGGGGTGCAGGGGGCACAGGGCAGTGCAAGCCCTCACCTGGTTCTCGGCGGGGAGCCGGGGCATGGAGGCGGCCCGGGCCTGACCCTCCATGGGGAGGCAGTGCTCACTGTCCGAGTAGCCCTCGGTGCCCATCTCACGCATCTCCACTGACTGCAGGCAGAGGTGGGGCAGGGTGAGGCGGGGCCAGGGTGAGAACCCAGGGGCAACTCCATGGGCGCAGAGTGGTGAGCTTGGGGTGTAGGGTGTGGACACCACCTCCCGCCCACCCAGCTCAGTTAGGGGTGCAGGGTGGAGGGCAGTGGCACCTGTGGGTTGGGCTGGCTGTTGGGCAGGTCGGAGGGGGGCCCACGCTCTGGGCTCCAAGTGCCAGTTTTCTGGAACATCTCCTGTGCCCGCTGGGTCACCCAGGATGGGCTCTCCTTCATGCCGCTGTCATGAGCCGTCCTGCGTGGGGGATAGAGGCCAGGATGGCAGGGGGCACCAGAGGCTCTGCAGCCTGGGTTCAGCAACCCCCCATGTCTCCTGGGGGCCATGGTGACACTCACAGGCTTCTGCCAGGGTCCAGCTGGGTGGAGGGGAGGGCGTTCTGGCCAGGTCCCCCCTCCTGCGTCGGGGATGGGGGCTCCATGCGCTGGAACATGAGTGGTGTCCGGTTCTGGGCAGGCAGAGACCAGCCAGGGGACAGATGGAGGGAGTGTCAGAAGCTCAGGCACTAGACAAGGTCTTTTTTTTTTTTTTTTTTTTTCCTTAGAGCTGGGCCCTACATTAAGTTGTCAGGGCTGGACTTGAATTTGGCAGTCCACCTTCCTCAGCCTCCCTAGTAGCTGGGATGCCAGGCATGCACCACTTCGCCTGCTCTTCAGAGTATTTCCGATCCCTTCCTGCACGCACATACCCAAGTTTGACCTGTCTGGTTCTTTTGTCCAAATCTTCCCAGAACAGTGTCTTTTTATGGCCGTACCGCACCTGCACACCTCCCACCTGGTCCAGTGCTCATTTCCTCGCAAGCGCCGTCCCTCCCTGCAGTTTGTTCCTTCCGCAGCCACCAAGGGGCGCCCATGAGCGCCCAGCCCAGGCTGCGGGGACTCCCTGCTCCTCTGAACTCCTCCCCTCCCCCCAACCGGGGATTGAACTCAGGCGCTTGCGGTTGCCAGGCAAGTGCTTATTCTACTGAGCTATCTCCCAGGCCCCTCCTCTGAACTTTGCAGGGCTCCTCCGTTTCACTTGGATCCTCTCCATCACCTCTCTCTCCTCTCTTCCCTTTTCTTCCACTGGCCTCTGCCTTCTCACCTTCCTCCAAACTCAGCAGGTGAGGTCCAGCCTGAGGGCCTTGCACAGGCCAATCCCTTTGCTGACCCCCTTCACATCCCCTCCCTCTTCCCTCCTTCCTAGGATTCACTTTCTACACAGCACTCTGTTTCTAGGTTCTTTGATTTAGTTGGAGGAGGGACGCCGTTCCCTTCAGCCGCACCCCAGGGCCCGCTGTAGCTTGCCCAGCACCCAGTAGGCCCTCGATCAGTGCTGCAGGAAGCAATGAATGGGCCCAGCTATCCAGGGCACGAGGCAGGGACCCGCGTAGGGGCCTGGCCACACCCCATCTCTGGCTCTCTGGCCATTCCTCTTGGTTCCCTCGTTATTCTGATTGGATCCTTGCTTGCTCACCCTGATTGGTTCCCTGCTTGCTTACCCTGATTGGTTCCCGGAACCAAGCCACCCTGTCTCCCAGCGCGGGAGGCCGACAGCTGACGCACCTGCTCCTCGCGCATGGCCTGCAGCTTCTTGGCTTTGCTCTGCCGGTAGTACTCCATGATCATCATGGCCGCGTAGATCTTGCCCACCGTCAGGTCCGTGGCTGCAGGCACAGACAGAGTGAGCTCTCGGTGGCGCTTCCCGGAGCCTGCTTTCTCTCCCTGGGGCCCTGTTCTGCGGGGTCCCCCGGACCAGCTTGCCCCTTACACTTGTGCGGGGTGACCAGGAGGTCCAGCGTCTTCTGTGACAGGTTGGGCCAAATCGCCATCATCTCCTTCCTCAGCTCGGCGTCCATCTGCTGTTTGTCGGCTCCGCCTGCAACGTGGGCACAGACAGACCCTTATCATGAGAACACCACCATTATCCTGGTTGCCACGAGCTGGCCTGGAGCAGGCCCCGGCAGGAGTGGGGGACGACCGCACTAGTGTTGCTCCTCCGCAGCGTTCCATGGTTACTCCTCATCCCCGTACCTCAGTTTCCCTCTCTGAAACGGGGATTGTGGCTGCACCTGTGACTCACCTGGTTGCCGGATGACCAAAGTAGCTAACACTCACGAGGCTCGGGGTCAGTGTCTCCTGTGGGATTTTTATTCCAGCGCTATGGTTTGGCTGGTCCCTTCCAAGCCCGTGTTGTAAGGGACAAAAGGGAGAAACTGAACCCAGTTGGGGTGTTTAGCTGAGGGGCCTTTAGGATGCAAGGTTAAGTAAGCTCATCAGGTGCAGACCTTAGAGTGAGGTCTGATGACTTTATGTACTCTTTGTGGGGCTGGGGCTGGAACCCATGTGAGTGCTCTACCCCCAAGAGGCACCCCCAGCCCTTCTTAAAGTTTTGAGACAGGGTCTTGCTAAATTGTCCAGGGTGTCCTTGAACTTGTGATTCTCCTCCTCAGCCTGTGCCACTGTACCTGTGCCCACCTCACAGTATGTCGTCTCCCCCTGCCACAGGGTCTTTTTTCCTTTTTTGAGACAGGGTCTCACTATGTACTCCAGGCTGTGGTGATCCTCCTGCCTCAGCCTCCTGAGTGCTGAGATTACACGTGCATGCAACACACCTGGTTTCACTTTCTTTCTTCCCATGGCCAAAGGGTCTGGTGACACAGAGTTCCTGGGGCTAAGCTAGAATGGGATGGGGCTGGTTGGAGTCAGGTTGGGAGGTCCAGACCATTGGGGGTAACCCTGGAGAACAATCCCCTTGGTAGCTGGACCATTAGCACCACCCTATGGTAGTTTTTTCTTCCTCTTGGAAAGTGGTAGAATTAACTATTATTATTATTATTATTATTATTATTATTATTATTATTATTATTTCTACCATTATTATGGGCAAGAGAAGTACCCAGGATCTGTGTGGCCACGTCTTGGCAATCAAAGAAGAGAATATTTCTCATTAAAAGTGACTCTTAGTGGGGCTGGAGAGATGGCTCAGTGGTCTAAAGCACCTACTTGGAACAAGCTTGGCAAAGCACAGGGACCACGGTTCGATCCCCCAGCACCATATGCCAGCCAGCCCTGCCCACAGGTGGGCTGAACTGGCCACACACACAATAAATAAAATGTAAAAATAAATAAATAAAAATTTAAAAAAATAAATAAAATAAAGGATTCTTAAAAAAAAAAAAAGTGACTCTTAGGTTGAGCATGGTGGTGCACACCTGTAATCCCAGCACTTGGGAGGCTGAGGCATCAAGACTGCCATGAATTTGAGGCCATCCTGGGTTACAGAGTGAGTTCAGGACCTTCCTGGAATACAGAGTGTGACACCATCTCAAAATACAAACAAGCAAACAACAGGAAAGAGGAAGGGAGGAAAGCAGAGAGAGAGAGAGAGAGAGAGAGAGAGAGAGAGAGAGAGAGAGAAGTTCTAGCTGGGATGGTGGTACAGCCTGTAATCTCAATCTCAGCACTCTGGGAGGCTGAGGCAGGAGGATGGAAAGTTTGAGCCAGCCTAGGCATTTTAGTGAGACTGTCTCAAAAAACCAAGCCAAAGCAAACCAAGAACCAAAAAACATAAAATGGTGGCGGGGTGAGGCTGTTTCTGGGATTGTAATTCAGTGTGAAGGCCCTGGGTTCAATATCCAATATTGGTTTTTAAAAAAAGAAAAAAATTGCATAGGTCCTGCTTTACCTTGGTCTTAACCATCCAGCAGAAAAGTATGAAGACGAAATTATAAGAAAGCCATGCTGTTATGTTGAGCTGTGGGGGACTCAGGTCAATAATTTCTGACATTGCCAGTTAAACAGAAGACCCAATGCTATTATGGGCTACTGGACTCTTTTAGAATATTTTGCTGAGTTTACACACCTATAATATTCAATAACGGAACTTAGAAAAAATGGGGTATACAGATGAATGTCCATTTTGTATCTGTGTATTCAAAGTGGTTAGGATAGATATATAATTGCATTCTCTTAATGAATAGAATGATTTGTTCTAATGGTGTTTGTAAATAGGATCACAAGTCCGCATCTTGTACAGCAACTAACCACTAAGAAGAATATATGCAGTGTATTATTTGTTGAAAAATAAAAAAAAATAAAATTAAAAAAAAAAGAAAAAAGAAAAAAAGAAAAAAAAGTGACTTTCTGGGGACAGGAAGATACAGGAGAGGTTGGTTACTTGGGACAAAATTACAATTAGAGAAGGAATAAATCCTAGTGTTTTGTGTTATAAGGTGACTGCTGTTTAAGTGATACATATTTCAAGATATCACTGAATTTGGTGGCGCATGCTGGTAGTCCCAGCACTTGGGAGGCTGAGGTAGAAGGATCAACATGAGGTCAAGGCCAGCCTGGACCACAAAGAGTTCCCTGAACTACAAGACCCTATCTGCAAGAACAAAAGGCCTGCTGTCCTAAGAAGAGGAAAGAACCTGTGAAGTGGACCAAGAGGGTACCATTTAAGTCAAGCAGGACAGCAGGAAAGATCACACCTTTCAGCCCCAAGAACTGGAAGAGTTTCAGCCCCTTGGTCTTCGGGGTGTAGATGGATGCATCTGCTCTCAGCATGAGCACGGGTGAAAGGGTGTGGACAGGGATCCCGGACCTTAGCGTCACAGCCTTTGCTGTGGGGCCTTCTAGGCACCACTGAATGTTGCGCAGGAACCTGACCTCTGCTCACTAGATGGCAGTAGATCACCACTTTGGGCCCATTTGTGTGTGTGTGTGTGTGTGTGTGTGTGTGTGTGTGTGTGTGTGTGTATAACTGGGATTTGAACCCAGGTCGTTTGCACTGAGTTACAGCCCCTACCCAGTTCTTATTTAGAGTTTTATTGAGTCATTAAACTTTCCCAAGCTGCGTTTGAACTCTTGATCTTCCTGCCTCAGCCTCCTAAGTGCTAAGATTGCAGGTGTAGGCCGTCACACGCAGCTAATTCTGTTATGGTGCTTGGGCCTATGTATCAGTTTTGTTGGGTGGTCAGAGCTGAGCTCCCTGCCTAGGGTGGGGCCAGGCCAGAGGGAGGGAAGAGTGGAGGGGATGTATCTGAGTCCCTGGGAAGGAGGCTTCAGGGTCCAGACACAGCCAGACTTCAGGTTCACATGAAAGGAAGCATGTTTGAGGAGCTGAAGGACTGACAGCCCATCCTCCAGGCCCTCACAGCCTGCTGCTGCTGAGGCTCAGTGTGCTCAGAAAGCAGAAAAAGTGGGGTGTTGGGTGCGTTCAGTGGCAAATGCTTGCCTGGCCTGTATGTTGTCCTGGGTTCTATCCCTGCACTGCAGGAAAAACAAAACAAAAACAAAAGACTAAGCTAGGTATGGCGGCACATGCCTGTAATTCTAGGTCTTTGAGAGTCTGAGACAGGAAGGTTGTACGTTGTACCCTAGCCTGGGCAATTGAGTGACTCAGTAGGACCCTGCCTCGAAAAATAAAAAAGGGCTGAGATAGAGCTCAGAGTGAAGGCCCTGAGTTCAATCTCCAATAGTATGAAAACCAAACAGCCCCCTAAATCCGTGGTACTTGTTGTATGGCTACCAATGGTTTGGCTTTGAAATGTTCCCCAAAATCAATTGCATTAGGGTTGGTGGCAGTTGGCTCTGCTGGTGAGCGGACCGTCTTGGTCCCTGGGGATGCATGGGGGTGTGTGTCTCCCTCTCTCAGGCTGGGTGAGGCATGGATGTGGGGCTGGGACCCTGGCCTTGGGCCTGGACCTCACCTGTGGACTCCTCCCCGATGATTGCTCACAGCCACAGGGCTGGAGAGAAGATGTGGCCCTGTGGTGGTGGTGGTGGTCACTGGCTCGTGCCTTCTGGTTCTTGACCCCTTCTTTGCTGCTCCTTCCCCTTGCTCTGCTTCCCAGCCACCATGATGGCTCCTGCGTTGGAGCCTGGGACCATGGACCGAACCATCTGATACCACTAGCCAAGGTAAACCTTTTTTCCCCATAAGTTGCTTTCCTTAGGTATTTTGTCATAACAAGAAAGGTGGCTACCACAGTGGCACAGACAGCAGACATGGGTGCAGAGGCTCTCCAAACTGGAAGTCAAGGTCTCCAGGAAAGATTAGTGAGATGGGCCTCCCAAGCCCCCCAGGACAGTACTGTTCCACTGTGTCCCACTGTGAGGGAAACACTGCTCACCTGCTCCCTTGTCTGCCCTGACAGAGCCCAGGACCTGAGCAGTGAGGTGTACCCCACTACCTATAAATCACCTGCACAAGTGACACCCACCAGGGGCCAGGCTGGGGCCTGACTCCTCTTCCCCAATAGCACTGAGATTTGTTTATTAATTATGTGATGTTGGGGATGGATACCCAGGCCTCATCTATGCTAGGCAAAAGTTCTACTACTGAGCTGCAACCCCTGCTCTTAAAAATTCAGGGTCTCACTAAGTGGCCCAGGCTGGCTTTGAACCTGTGATCCTCCAGCCTCAAGTATTCTGAGTAGCTGAGATGACAGGCTTTTGCCACCATGCCTGGTTGAAATACATTCTTTATAATATACCCTGTCTGTGTCCCTCTGTGACAGTCAGGTCAACCTGGAAGGAACAGGGGTCGCCTAAGTTCTGTCGTCCATCCCCCTAACTCAGCGTCTTCTCACCCTCGGCAGGGCCATCTGCTCAGTTCTTGCTGGCTCCTCTCTCTCTCCATTTTCTCTGGTGACTGTGTGCCTCTCTATCCCACAATGCCACCCACTACCAGGTCACATCCAGCCCATTCTCAGGCCTCCAAACTCCATGCCATGCACTGGGGGTGGGGGGTTGGGGGCGCTGACCTGTCTACCAAGGCTGCTGTGGGCACAGTGGACAGTGGCAGCTGCTTCCTCTCAGTCTGTCCTGCCTGGCCACCCTGCCCATTGCTCCTTGGTTTCCTCTAAGGGTGAAGGATGTACCCTGGGGTCAGCATTTGAGGATCTCCTCCTTTCTGCAGTCTAGGCTCTGAGCTACATTCTTAAGACTTTTCTTTTGCAACAAAGTTCCGCTAAGCTTCTGAGTTCCCCACAGTGGGCTGGAACTTGCTTTGTTGTTTGAGACAGGGTCTCATTATGGTGGCCAGGCTGGACTTGGACTTGACAGCAGTGCACCTGCCTCAGCCTCCCTGCACCACGCCTGGCCAGACCGGAATTTGCAATCCTCCAGCTTCAGCCTCCCAGAGCACTGGATGACAGATGTGCACTTGGCTAGGAGGTCCCTGTCACGTAATGTGTCATGCAGTTTGGACTCTGGATTTCTGAAACTGAGCTAAATAAACTTCTTGTCTTTTTTTTTTTTTTTTTTTAGTACAGGATCTACAGGGTCTCAGTACACAGACCGGACTTGTAGTGATCCTCTTGCTTTCAGCCTCCCAAGTGCTGGGATTATAGACATGGGCCATCACACTCAGTCTCAGTGTGCCCCAGAGGCAGGACTGGCACGCTGGGGATGGAACTCCAGTCCTTGCATCTAAGCAGGCGCTTTAATCCGCTGAGCTATCTGACTGGTCCTAAACTTCCTGTCTTTAGGAAGCACCCAGGTATTCCAGGATAGTAACAAGTCAGACTGACCCAGGGCCCCACACTGGCCTCTTCCCCCATTGTCTTCACAGTGGCCAGCAGAAGCCTGCTTAGGGGTAGACCCAATGAGCCCCTCCAAGTCGTGTTCCCCACCCCCTTTCACTGCCTCCTGCCCCAGGTCCTTTGCACACACGTATGGGGATCCTCCCCTTAGATTCATGTCACTTGCCACCTCATCTCCTTTAGGATCTCCACGGAGGCCCCTCAAGCTGCTGTGGCTCCTTCCTTACAGGGTGTCTGGATGCCCTGGCTTCTCAGCTGGCCCACCTTCCCAGCCTGCCTGCTCTGCCCTTACCCTTGGCGATCTTGATGTCCAGAGCTGTGCGGATCAGTGCCATGAGGGTGGAATTGAAATGGACAGTGTTGTCATCCGCCACGGGGAGGTCCATCCGCAGGAGCCTCTACAGAAAACCCCAGGGGAGGGAGGTCATTCTGAGGCTCCCTGCCTGGGTTCCCGTGACCCACACCCACCCTGCCCAGGAGCCCCAGGAAGAACTCTGAAGGTGGCCCTGTTGAATGTCTTGGTGGTCCTTGAGACCAATAGGGTAGGAGCCAGGGGCTCTTCAGTGATCCTAAACCCCTTCCTCCATTTTTTATTTGTGATGCTGAAGAGGGAACCCAGGGCTTTGCATATGCTAGGCAAGCAGACACTCTACCACTGAGCTCTATCCCAGCTGTTTGAAAAATGTCAAGATAGGACCTTGTTTAATTGCCCAGGCTGGCCTGGAACTTGAGATTCTTCTGCTTCAGCCTGTTGAGGCACTGAAATCCCAGTATGCACTGTCACGCCTGGCTTACCACCCCCCCCCTTTGATTTTTTGAGACAAGGTCTGTCTACATGGCCCAGGATGGCCTTGAAATATTGGTGATCTTCCTGCTTCAGCCTCCTGGGTGCTGAGATTACAGGCGTGCACCACCATCCCTGGTTCCCTGTCCTTTTCAGATCCCACCTTCTGGACCCCAGAGCTAGCATTGCCAGCGTTGCCCCCAAATCCTTGCTCTGCCCCCAGAGTTCTTCCAACGGGGCCTGGTCCATTCTGATCCAGAAGAGAGAAAGAGAGAGAGAGAGAGAGAGAAAGAGAGAGAGAACAAGCCGGGCCCAGGTGCGCATGCAGCAGGCAGGCAGACGGTCCAGGCCACAGCCGGTGGCTCCCACCCATCCCCTGCTGGCCGGCCAGAGGGCACGGGACCACCATTCCTTGGGAAGCACAGGCAGCGGCCCCCGTGGACATGCAGCGAGGCCAGACACGAAGGCACAGACAGGGCGCATGCGACGAATCTCGAGACTCAGTCATAGCTCCGTGGGAAGTATGTCTGGGGCAAGTCTGGGCCTGGCTCTCTGCGGCAGCGGGGAGAAGGGGCGAGGGGCGTGCCGGCCCAGGGAAGGAGTCCCTGTGTCCCAGGCAGGGGCTCTGTCCCCCGTGCTTGGTGGCTAAGAGGGGACACTGGGCTGGTGCACACCAGCTCCGGCTAGGGCACGGAGATGAGGGTGGAGGGCAGGTTTGGGGCTTGCCAGGGGATTCGGATACCCACTGGTAGAAGACCGGGGTAGGAGACGGCAGGTGGAGAACACAATGTGGGGGTCGGGGCAGGGAGGCAGGCAGTAAGTAGAAAAACAGGGGTGTGCACAGCTGTGGATGGGGGGAGCTGCACAAAGGGCCCCATTTTATTTTTTGAGCCTCACTATGTAGTTCAGGCTGGCTTTGAACTCACAGCAATCCTCTTGCCTCTGCCACCACACATGGCTTGGTTTCCCATTTTACAAATCATGATTTTTGTTTTCATAGTGGAAATTGAATCCAGGACTTTTGCATTAAGCCACATTTGCAGGCAGCTCCTTAATTTTTTTTAAATGTATTTAGTACAGGGTCTGCAGGGTCTACAGGGTCTCACTATGATAGGACTCATAGTGATTCTCCTGTTTTCAGCCTTCCCAAGTGCTGGGATTACAGGCGTGTGCCACCACACCCAGTTTCAATCAACCACGGGTGGGCTGGCTTGGCAAGCCAGGGAATGAACCCCGGCCGCTGTGTTCTGCCTAAGGAGGTACTTCAGTCCACTGAGCTACCTGGCCGGCCCTAAAAGTTTTATTTTTCAATTTGTGAAAACCTTAACACAGTGGTGCTCAGGCTGGGCTCAAATTTATGATATTCCTGCCTCAGCCTCCTATAATGCTACAGTTTTAGGGGTGCGCAACCATGCCCAACTGGATTTACGTTATTTACTATGACAGCTTTTTCCTGGATAGCAGAAAAGTGTCTTTTTTCTCACCCAATGGGCGCATTTCCTGTGAAATATTCTGTGGAAAGGATTTTCTATCACCCTCAAACCTGCAGAGACCAGGAGGGGAGAATTTTCCTTTCCTCTTACAGCCTTCAAGTAGAGGCCAGGGAAAAGGACAAGGGAGAGGACACTTTAGGGATGGCTGGAGGGTGGAGGAGGAGCCAGGACACGCACAGACACAGGGCAGAGGGGCAGGTGGCAAAGGCTCGAAAGGTCAGTTTGGCAGGGGCAGGAGTGAGGGCGGGGTGTTGTTAAAGGTCACCCCTGAATGTCCACGGGATGAGTTGTAGGAACAGAGCATCTGTCTGTGGGCGCTGACTGAGCGTCCAGGACAGGGTCCAGAGGGGGGGCCGATGGCCCCTGGCCCTCAGCCAGCATGCAGAGCCCCGGTTGCCGTGGTGCCTGCCCCCCAGGTCCCCAGGCAGCGTGCACGGCCTGCATCTGTGTTGCTGTCCAAGTCCTGCTGCACCTGCTGCCCAATGGAGCATTGGGGAGGCAAATGAGATCCAGGGGTGGGAGCGAGGGGGCTGCAGGGGAGGGGAGGCTCTGGGGGCTCCATGGGAGGTGTCCAGTACCCCGAGGCCCTAGGTCAGAGATCAGCTTCAGGTGTGTGTTGGGAGCTCAAGGCCTCAAAGAAGGGGCCAGAGCCCCTCGCCTTTGCTTGGGACCAACATCTCCTTGCCTGGGCATGGGGTTGCTCTGGGTGGGCACAGACTTGAAGACCTGGGGGAGCTGGGGCCCTGGGTGCTCCCTGCCACCCTCCCCCAGCGTGTGGCCATAATGGAGTCTCAGAACACGTAGACACTCATCGAAAGGACGGACACAGTGTGCTGCTTCGTCAGGGGATGGTCATGATCCAGGTACTTGGGAGAAAAGAAAAAAGGGAAAAAAAAAAAGAAGAAGAAGAAGAGGAGGAGGACGGCTGGAAAAAGACTCAGCTGGGTGTTTCTGATGAGCACTGAAAAATCCCCAGTGCTGGGCGCGGGGTCAGCAAAGATAGACTACCTTGTATGCCACTCTGGCCGGACACTTCTTCCCCAGCCCCAGGGGAGGGGACATGTGTCTCAGCATCTGATACATGTCCGGGTATGGCATGCGGCCCCTGGCAGTACCGAAAACAAAACACGGGGTGGGTGCGGACGGAAAACCAAAGGAAGTCGGGTGGGAGAAACAGAAGGAGGGAAAAACCACAGGAGCCGAAAAAATAGAAAAAGATGCAGAAAATGATAAAATAGATATTTCAAATAAATAGGAAGGAGGAAAAAATGGAAGAAAAGGTAATTAAAAATTATTATTTCACTGCTCACCAGCAGGGAGAAAGAAAGAGAGGGAGGGAAGGAGGGAAGGGGAGAGGGAGAGGGAGAGGGAGAGGGAAAGGGAGAGGCAGAGAAAGAGAGAAAGGGGGGGAGAGAGAGAGAGAGAGAGAGAGAGAGAGAGAGAGAGAGAGAGAGAATCAGATTCACCCTGGACCCTCAGATCTACTTCTGGCAGAGAGAAATGAGGGTTCTCCTGTTGAATTATTTTTCGGTGGGGGGGGGGGGGTTGAAACAGGGTCTCACTAGGTATGTTGTTCAGGCTGGCCTGAAGTCCAGATCCTCCTGCCTCAGCCTCCCAAGTGGTGGGATGACAGGCACCCACCACCAAGCCTGACTTTTCATTGTCATTTTTAAAGTGGGGTCAAGTTCTCTGGTTTGACTGAGGCTGGTCTCTGAGGGGGCCTAGGCGGGGAGGGGAACCTGGATGAGGGAGGAGGGCTGGGGGCTCTGGGAAGCCAGGGGTGGAGCAGGAGAAAGAGGAGGTGACTGTGTGTGTGTGTGGGGGGGCAATGCAGTTTCAATCCTCCATGAGTGTGTCTGATTTGGGGTGCCACTGAGACCCCAGGATGGGCAGCTTCAGCTAACAGCAAGCAGGGATGGCTGAAGGGAACAGATAGATATGTTCCATGCTTCATTGAGTCTACATGGCGGCATTCTGGTGCCTAAAAAGTTTTCTAGTTTAATGCAAGAGAGCGCTGGCTCTGTGTTGTAGAGAGATATATATATATATATATATATATATGAAATATATATATTGAAGAACCCCAAGCCACACTCATTCCATTGATGCTAGCAGGTTTTAGTGGAAATCAAACCTTGCAAGCAACCCTATGAGGACATTTCTTGCCTAAGCCGAGAGGGGGAGATATTACTCGTAATAAACTGTACATATCCTTATAATGAATGCGACCGCTGCAAGGAGAAGAGAGGGGGTTAGTGGATGTGGGGGAGGCCTGGTCACACTGGCTTTCTGCACGCGGCAAGGTCGGGGGTTTGGAGGGCAGGTGGACAATCGGGGGTCAGTCCCTGACCACACACCCAGACGCTGCCCACAGGCCCTGGCGTGGGGCAGAGGGCTTGATCCAGGTGTGCTGGGGGCTCTGGGCTGGGAGCGCCTTCCCCCGGCTCTCCCTGCCTCTGCCTCCTGCACAGTCTACATGGGCTGCATTGGGGGGCTGGTGGAATAGAGGAGGAGGGGACAGCATCCAATTGCTATGACCTAAAATCAAAAGAGGAAGAATTAAGAACCAGGCAGATGCCAAGCCCCAGCCCTACGGCTTATGCCAGCCTCGTCTCACCATCTAAGGCTGTAGGAACAGTTAGAACCACTTCTACCCCCCTTCCACAAAGGGAGAAAAGGAAGCGGACACAGCAGCCTCTGAAGGCCCACAGGAATGGTCCTCTGGGCCCCACACCCAGCCTGAACTAGAATCTGCTACTGGAGGTTGGGGCTGTGCAGGAGCTTAATGCAGGTGCATGGCCTTTGCTCTCAGCGCCCTCCCCGGCAGCCCACAGGGAATGCCCTTGCTCCCCAGAGACCACACATCTCTCTCTTGGCCAAGGAGACAGGCACAAGGGCCCTGGGCTCCATCCCCACCTCACCAGTCTGACCACCTACTGTCAGCTGCTTCCTGTAGTGCTGGGGACAAATTCTAGGACTTCACACTGCTATAGCTCTATCAATGAGCTATAACCCAGCCTTTATTCTAAGCTTTTAATTTTTTGGTATCAGCATTTTTGTTTTTGTTTTGAAGACAGTATCATGCTGTTCAGGCTGGCCTTGAACTCACTGTGTAGCCCAGGCTGGCCTCAAATTACAGTGATTCTCCTGCCTCAGCCTCCTGAGTGCTGGGATTACCATTGTGCACTAGCACGCCTGACTCTGCTTTGAGTTGTTTATTTTTCTATAATACATGTATAGATTAATAAAGAAAATATGGGGTTGGGGAGATAGCTCAGTAGAATAAGTGCTTGCTTGGCAAGCACAAGGGCCTGAGTTCAATCCCCGGTTCCACCAAAAAAAAAAAAAAAAAAAAGAAAAAAAAATGTTCTTCTATGAAAAAACACTTGATTACAAAATAATTAGAGAAAAACAATAGTTAATATGCTACACACCATAATCTTAAAAAAATGGCCAAAATGTTAATCAGGTTCATGGACAAAAAAGACTTCTCAAAATAGATGATAGCATGTCAGTTGAAATTTTTTTTTTTTTTTTTTTTTGGTGGAACCGGGGATTGAACTCAGGCCCTTGTGCTTGCCAAGGAAGCGCTTATTGCACTGAGCCATCTCCCCAGCCCAGTTGAGATATTTTTGAAATAATACAGTAGAGGAATTATTTGAATTTTTTCCTACTTCCTTTTTTTTTTTTTTTTTGTACCAGGATCAAACTCAGGACCTTGAACTTGCCAGGCAGGTGCTTATGCTGCTGAGCTATATCCTCTTACTTCCTATTTCTTTGTCTTTGTCTTTTTTTTTTTTTTTTTTCAGTACCAGGGTTTGAACTCAGGCCCTTGTGCTCGCCAGGTAAGTGCTTATTCTACTGAGCCATCTCCCTGGCCCCCCAGGCCCCTCTTTGTTTTCTATTTTGCTCTTCATCTGTGTGTACATTGAGTTTCTCATATAAGAGAAACTGTCATATCTGGGCTTGTGTGTCTGACTTTCTCATTTAATATTCTGTCCTCAAGTTGCATCAGTCTGCCTATGGAGGCCTGCTCTGCCCCAAGTCCTGAGCTGGGCTCTGCTGCTGTCCCTTCTGCCCAGCTCTGCCTACTTGGGCTATCGCCCTGTCCGCCCCCAAGTCCTCTGGTTTCTCCCCAGCCTCTTGAGGGGAATGCCTCACCTCGGCCTCACTGGGGACTGGTGCTCTGTGCAGCCCCTTCCTGACTCCCGCCCTCCTACGCTCAGGATCCTGGGATGCCGGAAGAGGTGCACTCACGCTTTGCACGTGCTGAGTGTGGGGCTCGGGGGTCCTTGTTTTCCCTCTACACTTGCCCCCAACAGGTCCCTTTTCAGATCCAGGCACCTGGCACCTGTCCCACCCATGTCCCAGTCCCGGGGAAAGGTGGACAACGTGGCTGAGAGATTCAAAGTGACTCCTTACCAAGCTGCAGGATCATACTCGGCCCAGACACGCACGTATTCATCCAGATGGTGGGGGCCCAGGATGGAGGAGTCTCGGGTGAGGTACTCGAAGTTGTCCATGATGACAGCGACAAAGAGGTTCAGCATCTGGGTGGAAATGAGGGAGGAGAGAGTCAGGGTGGGGACAAACGCCTCGACTCATGCATGCCATAGTGCAGGCCTGTAATCCAGTGCTGGGGAGGCTGAGACAGAAGGATCACTAGAGAGTCCGAGCTGTGTAGGGAAACCCTGTACCAGATTAAAAAAAAA